GAAGTAGGGTAGTGTTACAGATTGTTTTAGCAGCCTTATGTACCCTCAAATGTATGGTGAAGATGGTTTGGGTGTTTGGCCAACCGATTAGTTGATTTATACGCTTTAAAAAGCGTGCATGGCACGTCCTTGATCAGTTTCCTTGCGTAGGCGTGGTCACCGTGCCCCTAAGCCAATGTCGACGCGCTTGGTAGCGCTTGGCTGGCCGCTGTGGCCGACAGCCCTGGCGCACAGCTGCCCCACCTCACTACCACGTTGCTGTCGCCGTAGTCTCGTCGCGCGCTACCGCTGGCGCCGCTGACGGTGCCACTAGGGCCTCCCGTGTTTGCTCTGCTATGCTGCAGTGCTCCACGAGACACAGGTGCCACTGCCGCTATCATCACATCACCGTGCTATGTCGTTGGCCGCCTTGGTACTGCACGCACAGGGTCGCGCCCCCCCCACGTGCACCTACTCCGCCTTCAGCCGTGTCCCGCCGAGGCGGCACAACGCCTCCTTGCACCGTGCCGCTACCACTACCGCCTTGCTCTGCCCGCACATGTAGCCATCCACCATCTCACCTTGTCGCTCTCTATTGAATAGCTACACGACGCAACGAGCCGTTCTTCCTCCCATCCCCCCTCGCGCGCCATTACTACCGTCAGGGACGGTGGGCCGATGTCCCCTCACGCGCATGGCTTCGCAATTCACGCCCCTCGATTCACTAGGGTCTGATTCATATCACCTATAGCGACTCCATAAAGCTATCTAGCTGTGTCACCCTTACCGAGCCTCAGTCGAGCACTGCCGCCCGCCAATTTGGCGTTTTACTCACCGCCGGTCGTCTCCACCGCCGCGCCTGACTTTGCTGGGGGTAAACCGGTATCCTTCGGTAGAGATTCAATTAGTTGCTCCTTCGAGCCTTCCTTGACCCCCTCATTTCCATGCTCATGCCAGGTTCACTGGAGGCACTGCTGGTGACGTGCTGACGTGGAGGTCCCATGCTCGGGGCGCTGCCGCATCGCTTGGTCGCAAGCGGTCAGCACCGCTCGAGCCACCTCTGACCAAACCATCACCACAACCGCAACCAGGGTAAGATAGTGATGCTATAGCGCTAGCTAGTTCACCTCGCGGTGGCTTAGGGTGGCTAACATGGTCGTGCCACTGTTGCGGATGGCTGCGCGCCGTGGTCACCACTCCCACGAGCTCCGCCTCTCCTTTAACCTAGGCTAGTGAAGGCGTTAGGGTTGTAGACGGGGGTTGGCCCGTTAGTGGAGCCAGCGCGGGTCCCGGCTGGCCGGCGTGGCTGTCCAATGCCATCGCCGCTATGCCGCTGCGCGCGCGGGTGGCTGAGGACCATGCTGTTGTAAAGGTGGGAGTTTGCGAGGGTTTTATTACAAAGTCGTAGTCTGTTGAAATAGCGCACATAGTGTTTGTAGTATTATCGGAGAACGCGAGGGCGTTTTTGCAAGTTGGTCGACGCGCGCGTGGGCCGCGCGTGCCTGCACGCTGCGCGCGTGTGGGCCGCGCTGAATGGCCACGCGAGAATTGGTTTTCCTTTTTCCAGTAAATTAGCAAATGTTTTTCTAATTTAATTTTGAGCTGATCTTTAGAAAATTATAGTAAATTCTGTAGTTGTCCAAAAATAGTGAAACAAAATTTGTTAGGTTCATAAAAATATGATCTATCTGTTAGTGTAGTTAGTTTACATTTATCTGTGAGAATGTTAGGTTCATTAATTCATTTAGGAAAGCTTAGTATTATTTAGATTAATATTTGTATGAAGTTTTGTGGCAAATTAGTAATAGTTTTGACTATAAAATTTTTACAGTAGGTTCATTGTATTATTATAAACTCACTGTAATTTTTGTAGCCTTAGAATATGTTGAGAAATATGGTATCTAAGTACTCCTTGTTGTAGGATATAGGAAATCGTTAATAAGAGTAAGAATATATTTTAGTTGCTAAGTAGCACTTGTAGGCGAAACCCTGTTGGTTTGATGGGAATAATGATTAGCTCGGTATCTTAGTCATTAGAGCTAGCTTAGTGGCTTAGTAGATGTATTCTTACTTTAAGAACTGTTGTTGCCTTAATATTGAGTGTTGCATTATCATTGCATGCATATAGAGAACGAGTTGGTGGAGTTCATGACCACGGACGAGTAGGAGTACGAGGAGGTGATTGAAGAGTACAAGGAGGAGATCCTTGTGCAGGAGGAGGTCCCGGAGCCGCCACTGACTGACTGAGCTGACACCGCGCCTGCCTAAGACAAGCCCTGGTGCGTAACCCTTATTTTGAATAATTACTGAAAATATATATATGATGTGCATTTACGTTATAGGAGTTATATTGAAACTATATGCATAGATATATCTACTTATGAGTCCTACTAGCTTAGGTCGAGTTGCTGCTATGCTTAGGTTTTTCGGTAACATGAGTAACCTGCCATTACTCATAATAGGTGATTAAGATTATCACTCTCATGATAAAATGGTGAAAGAAAAAATAGAGACCGGACAGGGATATGGTACGGGTATTGGTGGGTGTAAGAGATTGTGTTCCGCGATCAACGGTGCATAGCTTGGTTACACTGTTTTCCTTATCCGTGTTGGTTAAGGATCAACCATTGCATTTGGTTTTAGGTAAGTCACAGACTTATTATCCTGAGCACATACTTGTTTATGAGAGCATGAAAGACTTGTTGCTCTCTTGTCATGGGTTTCGAGTCTTTTCCAGACCGACTGATGGGAGACGGGGATGGTGGAGGTCTAAGTACCGCACTGAGTCTAGGACTCATGCGTGGGGGCTTGGAGTCCAAGTTTAGACTGGGACCTGGACCCCTTGACAGGAGAGTGATGGGTTGGTCCTGCTTGTGCCTGGTGTACAAGTGGGGCATATGTTTCGGGGTACCCAGCTGGGCACATTGATTTGCGAATCGCCGGGTAATCCGATACGGCTTGTCTACAGTCTAGCACCGTAGTAAGAACTAAAATATGAAATATGGTGAAATTGATCTGTTTTGCTCAACTCTTGCTTGAAAGTAGAACATGTGCTTACATAGAATGGCTAGATAATGGACTAATCATGACTGCTAATAAGAAACATACATAAGGATCCACTACTAGTAATGTTTTTTTACGAAAAGTAAACCCAGCAACCCATAAAGCTTATCATATTCTTTGGAGTCGGAAAATTATTCCCACTAGTCGGGTAAGTCTTGCGAGTACATCATGTACTAAGAGTTTATTTACCCCTGTTGCAGGTGCAGTTTGAAGAGTAGCAGTTGTGTGGAGGATTCTTCTGGTGGGCACAGACGGATCCTTGTATTCTACCGTTAGATGTTTATTGTAATTCCGCTGTTTAAATTCTGCACTCTGAACTTGATACTATAATAAGATATTTCTAAGAACTCTGGTGGTATGAAATGAACTAAGTATTGTAAACTTGTTCTTATTATTGGACCCCGGAGGAAAAACATGAAATATTCGAGTTCTTCCTTGGGGTGTGCTCGACGAAATCCGTCGACGTAGCTTGCTTTCGGGATGCTTAGTGTCCGGTGGAAGACGAGCGCCTCCGAAGGTGTGTTATTTTGGACGGTTCTGCCACAGTTATTATGTTTTACAAGTATTTAGAACACGTCTATACATCGATCACAATGTTTATGGAATTTTCTAGATTTTTCTAAATATTATTTCTATTTTTCTAGAGCTAAATCTGTTTTTTAAACAACTAGAGATATTCTCATGAGCTCTAAATATTTTATTTGATATGGCGTTCCCATTGTATGGCGTTCCCATTGTATCTCTAGAATTTTATTTGAAGTTTTTTAAAGCCTATAGACATTTTTTGTCATGACATGAGGTAATTTTGAATGGTTTTGAAAATTAACGAATAACATGTCTGATTTTAGAGTTTAAGAAAAAAAAATCAGACTTAGAGGAAAATTCAGGTAAATCCTATCCGTTCAATGGCCAACCACCGCAGCAAACGAGCTGAGCTCAAACAAATATCTCCACATCAAAGCAGCAGCTATAGTAATCAAAAGAAATAAAATGCAGCAGGTATCTCCAAGCCACTCACCTGTTGCTTGCTCCGTTGATTTTCAGAACTTGATTCGTGGCCCCATGTGTCAGTGAGTAACAGCATAATTTATTCCGCCTTGACGGTATTCTAGAGAGTGTCACACGACACGAATGAGAGACGGCTTCATCCGATTGGCGATTGGTGTGTCCTATTTATCCTCCACTCTTTCCTCTCGAGCTCTCCAGTCTCCACTAGCTTTCCCCTTCTCTCCGGTCCGGGATTCGGAAGCACAAGGCAGAAGCTAAGGTACCAGACCATGTCCTAACCCCTAGCTGCTGCTGATTGATTACTTTTCGCCACTCGTTGGAGTAGAAATTTTAGTTACTCTCCGTTTTGGGGCTGTTCATGTTCCTGTGTTTGGTGCCTTTCTTGATAAGTTGATATACAGCCATGGATCCTTAGAACTTCGATTTAGTGACTCCGTAGGTATTGGATAATAACAGAAAAATATTGAATCACCGGTTATATTTCCCCCGGATTTCGACAACTTTTTAGGGCCTTTGGAACCAAGGAATTTCTTAGTTTTTTTTTCATGGAGAAATTTCGAAGACACCAATGAAGTTCTCGCATAAATAAGAAAAAAAACTAAATCATGCTCGATTTGATTTTCTTGCCATGAGAAACTGCTAGTCAAGCACAAAAGAAGGATCTCCTAATTTTCCACACTTGACAACATTATTTTCACAGCTTCACGAACTTTCGTCATCCACCCACCCCCCACCCAAAATGTGAATACAACCATAACCTTCACAGCTTCAAGAACTTCCAAGTTTAAAGAAATTTCTAAACAGTAATTCTTTTTTAAGCTGGTGAGGGGTCCCGGCTCTCCTGATTACTAAAAAGAGACGACTGAACAAGATATTATTAGATCCACACACGAATTGTATACCAAATGTTTCCCTGATTGGAGCTAATTTCCTCATGGAGATTAGGGACTATGGGGCAGAAGCATCTTTTGTTGCTTGCTTGTTTCTGGGTCCTGTCATGTTCCTTGCTACTTCATGCTTCCTCCGATGGACTGTTAAGAATCAACCTGAATAAGAAGAAACTGGACAAGGAAGCTTTGACTGCTGCAAAATTTGCGAAGAAGGAGAGCCGCCTTCGAAGGTCTATGGGTGCTGGCCAGTATCTTGGTGCCTCAACTGATGACATAGTTCCTTTGGACAACTACCTGGACACTCAGTACTTTGGAGAGATTGGCATTGGCACGCCATCACAGAACTTCACGGTGATATTTGACACTGGAAGCTCCAACTTGTGGGTTCCCTCATCCAAGTGCTACTTTTCGGTATGTTCATTACTATGAGATAATGGTGCATATTTTGACGCCAGTAAGGTATTCTAAGTTTGGTATTTGTACGTCCATGTATTACAGATAGCATGCTACTTACACCACAGATACAAGTCAACCAAGTCGAAGACTTACAAAAAAAATGGTACACAATAATCTGTTGCATCTATTCAGTTTTGACTATTGTTTTGGCGAGTTTGAGAGATGTTGGTTAAACGGTACCCTGTTATTTGAACTGCACAGGAGAATCTTGTACAATCACATATGGTTCCGGGCAAATCGCTGGCTTCTTCAGTGAGGACAACGTGTTGGTTGGTAACCTTGTTGTGCAAAATCAGGTAAACTGGTCACATAATTCCTCAATTAAATGTTCCTATCCACCATTGTTATGATAATAGTACTACTTTTTGTTCAGAAATTTATTGAGACGACTCGTGAAACCAGCCCTACTTTCATCATTGGGAAGTTTGATGGAATTCTTGGCCTCGGATTTCCTGAAATTTCTGTGGGAGAAGCCCCTCCAATTTGGTATGTATTAATTTCGTTTGTACATAATGTCGAAACTCAAATCACTGCATTTCTGTTCCTTGATCATTTTCTCTGTTGGATGAACCAAACAGGCAGAGCATGAAAGAGCAGAAACTGGTCGCAAAGGATGTCTTCTCTTTCTGGCTTAATCGTGACCCTGATGCATCTGCTGGAGGCGAGCTTGTCTTTGGTGGTGTTGATCCAAATCACTACAAGGGGAACCATACATATGTTCCCGTTACTCGCAAAGGCTACTGGCAGTTTGACATGGGAGATCTTCTTATTGGTGGCCACTCGACTGGTTACTGTGCTGGTGGTTGTGCTGCTATTGTGGACTCAGGGACTTCATTGCTGGCTGGTCCAACTGTATGTATTCTAGAATTCCTAAATGGTGAATTCACATTTAGTACCTTTTCAGAAAAAATGGCACGGCTTATTTTCAATTCTTGTTCTGGTCCAGACCATAGTGGCTCAAGTCAATCATGCAATTGGTGCTGAGGGGATCATCAGTACAGAATGCAAAGAAGTGGTGAGAGAGTATGGAGAGATGATCCTTGAGTTACTCATAGCAGAGGTTTGGTGCTGGTTTCCCTTCTATATGAATTGTTTTTGTGATTAGTGTTTGTACATTGATATGGTTTTATCTAAGTATGAAGCATTTTGTTAATGAGCAGACAAGCCCACAGAAAGTGTGCACTCAGATTGGTCTCTGTGTATTTGATGGTGCCCATTCTGTCAGGTTAGCTCAGTTTATAAATTAATTCTAAGTCCTGTCGTAGTATCTATGCATTTTATTTTCCATGACATGTTTTTATTGAACTATCATGCAGCAACCCAATTGAATCTGTTGTTGAGAAACAAAATCTTGGTTCTGATCTTTTCTGTACTGCTTGTGAGATGGCTGTTGTCTGGATACAGAACCAACTCCAAGAAAACAAGACAAAAGAGCTCATTTTGAATTATGCTAATCAGGTTGGGATACTTTGTTATGGTTGGCCAGTTTTTTATGATTGGGAATTGTGCAGAATGTGACAGCATTTCTTATTCTAATGTGCATTGCAGCTCTGTGAGCGTCTCCCTAGCCCCAATGGCGAATCAACTGTTGATTGCGATCAGATCTCAAAGATGCCAAATCTTGCATTCACCATAGCAAACATGACTTTCACCTTAACACCAGAGCAGGTAACTCCCTACTTACAGTTTCTTCAGTATTTGAGTTAATAGCGAAGCTTTGTCTGGGCGAAACCATGATCTCATTTTCAAAGTTCAGTTCATTTATCGGACGTTCTTTGGTGCTAACATACTTGTTCTAGTTCTCTTGAATGCACTGATAGCCTTTGTGCTGCAGTACATAGTGAAGCTGGAGCAAGCAGGACAAACCATCTGCATCAGTGGGTTTATGGCATATGACGTACCACCTCCTCGTGGTCCTCTCTGGTACGCTGAACATATATGTACATAAGTGGCAGTAATCCACTCTACAGTCTTTGGTTTCCTTAGCAAGAATCAAGCATGCAATCTGACATCCGTCTTGTAAACATTCAGGATACTTGGTGATGTTTTCATGGGCGCCTACCACACTGTTTTTGACTTCGGCGAGAACAGGATTGGGTTTGCCAAATCTGCCTGAGGACTGGAGTTCTTCGCTTTAGTAACATATCCGGTTTGTTATCCCGGTATTGTACATATATTGTCGACCGGTATAAGCTGCAATGCTTAATACTATAGTATGTATGCACGCAGAAACCTAGAGGATTGTGGCAGGATATGTGTTTGCAAATGGAGCTATGCTATGTATGAAGCTCTGGGACATGGAATTTGATGTAACAAGCACGGATACACGATGAGGATTAGGGCTTTTAACCTAATCTTATCATGTTGATTACTATGTGGAAGTATGGTTGCTGAGACGAGATGCCGATCAATAGGGTTTTCTACCCGCCTAGTTTCTGGATAGGGTTACATGGCACTTTTCAGTTTGTTTTTTCAGCTGGAAGAGTGTTTTTCTCTCGCAACAAATCAGCCGGAACAGTGTTTCGGTTTGTTTTTTCAGCGAAACGAACGGAGCAGTGCCTCCTCAATCTGCATTATAGATTGGTTTTGATATTGGATATAACTGAATCTTTGGTCATGCAGGATAAGGTTTCTAGCTAATTTATACAGTGAGTAGATGATGATCCCTCGTGTAGACTTTGGGCTCAAAAAAGTCTATGGCTCGCCCTATGGCAAGGGCGCTGAATTTTTTTTTGGGAAATTACAAGGGCATAAACAGGCGTACCTCCTAAGAATAGGTAAGTACAAGGTAAATCTGAGTGGTATCTGGTATGTAAAAGCTGGTTGTATCTAGGTTAGTGACCTAGCAGGAGGCACCATGGATTTTAATCAAATTACCAAGTGACATTTGTTTTTCCCGGGTGGATCGGGTCAGGTAGTGGTCCACTAGAGGCATACCCTCCGAATTCAGTTTAGAACTTACAGATTGTAGTGCTATGCACTAAGAACCTGTTTTGCAGGGCTCCGGCTCCGGCCTGTAGGCCGTCCAGCGGCCGACACCCGCACTGTTCATCGGAGCCGATTTTCTCTCCCCTCCTTTTCCTCTCTCACTAACACACGCGGAGCCGTCGGAGCTCGTTTTTCTGGCTCTGCGGCTTCGGCTCCCGCAGCCTCCTGTCGGCCGCCCAACGGCCGACACCCTGCCACAGTGGCCGGAGCCGGAGCCGGCCGGAGCCCTGCCAAAGAGGTTCTAAGTGGTTTGGCTGACTGACTAGTGGCCTCGGGAGGCACATCACAGTTGCCCTATTGCCCTTTAGACCGGGTGTTTTCGACAGGGAATCAACCATCAATTCCTTGGTCAGCATAGCCGCTTTCTCCGGTACCGCTTGGCTTTAGGGGGGGTGTTGGGTTTGGGTTCAGCTAGAAGCTCCTAAATCTAGTCATATTTAGTCACTTTCTACCGAAACACTATGACTAAATGAGATTAAAACGGCTTTAGTCCTCTCTAGCAACTCTGGAGTGACTAAATGTAACTAAACCATTTAGGAGGGACTAAATTTAGCAGCTACAATTCAAACAGGACCTTATAATAGGGAGGGCACAATGCGTGTCGTACTTTTCCCCAAGCCCATCATCTTCTTCCTCATGCCCTTCGTCTTCCAAGCGCTTCACCATTGCAATCCTACGTCCCAGAGCCCAAATTGAGCCCTAGCATGCACTTTGCCATCTTCTTGGAGAATTTTTATTTTTTAATTCTTTTTTATTCAATATTTCAATAATAATTGCTCCTAAAAAAATTCGTGGATCTAATTCTTTTGGTCGCGCCAACGCCGCTGGCTTAATCAAATAACGTTGTCGCGCCACATGTATTGGTGCGGCAACATCTGCCACGTTAGATGGCATTTACGACGTGGAAAACACTGTCACACCACTCCCGCTGGCGTGACAGTATTGTTCTGCCATGTCACCTGGAGTGGCGTAACAAGACAAAACCTTTAAAAATTTATAACACTTTGATACGACGTATGACGTAAATGAAATTTATATGAAAAATCCTAATTCTAATTTTGAGTTTTTTCATTTGGGGACATTAAGATGCTCAAAAAAATAATATAAAATTTCATGAGCATGATAACCACGTACTAGTGCTTGTCACATTAGAAAAATAATATCTTTTTTTGTATGTTGTCAAATAGAGATACTTTTTACATGAAAGTTGTAGCTCTCAATGAGATCCACAACTTTATAGTTTTTGGTTTTTACATTTGAGATCGTTAAGATGCACAAAAAAATAATATAAAATTTTAGGAGCATAATAATCACATACTATTGTTTGTCGCATTAGAAAAATAATATCGTTTTGGTATGGTGTCAAATGAAGATATATTTTATATCAAAGTTGTAGCCCTTAGTGAGATGTACAAGTTTATAGTTTTGAGTTTTCATCAAAGTAATTAAGGCGTCGCCTAGGTGTCCAAGCGGGTTTTTGTAACACCCTAAAATTTGCTTCTCTTGCAATAGAGCTAAAATGATTTAATTTTGTATTTTTATGCTCACGAAAACATGGAAAAATAATAATTTTTCATTAAATTAAAATTTATCATAAGGTAGCAACATGTTGGTGCATTCATGCTGATGCATATTTATTTTGTGATGCTTTGGTTTAATCAAAATTTGCAAAAAGATTTAAATTTAAATTAAATTTGAATTTGAAAATGGTTTTGAAATAAAAAAAAGAAAAAGAAAAGAAAAACACTCCCTCTCATTTCTGGCCCAGCTCGGCCTGCTCCTCATTTCCCTGTTAGCTTCGGCCTAGCCTGCTCCACCCCGCTGGAAGCCCATCCCGTAGCCGGCCCAACTCATTTTTCCCTGCTACCTTCCCGCTCGGCCCGCTTCATTTCTTCCCGCGCGACCGCTCTCCTTTCTCCTCGGCCCAACAGTCCGAAAGCGGCCCAGCGGCACGTCACGCATCCCTTCTCCGCTTGTGGGCCAGCCCAATCAAGCTGTGCACACCGGCCCAGTCGCACGCTGCAGTCGCTCCCCGTCCTGCTTCCTCTCCGCTCTCCCTCACTGCTAGCCAGACCCAGTCGCCAGAGTCGTCTTCTACCTCATAGCCGCCTAGGACTCTCCATCGCGCCATGGAAGCCGACTTCGCTCCGCCCACGCCTCACCGTTGTCGTGCCTCCCAAGCAACCCAACCCCCTTAAATAGGAGCGCCATGCCCCTCCCGCATAACCCTAAGATGCCGTGCTCGCTGACTCGCCTCGCCCGAGCTCGCAACCCTAGCCGTCGAGTCGCCGTCACCCCATCGAACAGCGCACCGTCGCCGTCGCCGTCCACTCCACGCCGCTGGAAATCCACCTTGGTGACTTCACCGTCTTCTTCTCTTACTTTCATGTCATTGGTTTGCGAAACCGTGGCCTCTAGGGCCCAAACCAAGCGTTCTGGGGAGCTTCTCGTCGCCGGTAATGGAGCTCCGTCGCGCCGGTTTTCTTCTCCGGCCGGTGACTCTCTCTCCCCCTCCTTTCTAATCTGGGCCGTCCAAATTCAATCCAACGGTCTAAGATCGCCCGTACCGCTTCGCTGGATTTATTTGCAAAAGAGCCCCTATAGTTTCGCGTAATATAACCCGCAGTCCATGGCGCACTTCTAAAATACGTTTTCCTATTTCAAAAGCGTAGTTTCTTTCTAGTAGATTTAGAATATGTTCTCTTTCAGAAAGCGTAAAATTCCTCTGTTAGATTCAAAATACGTTTTCTTCTTTTGAAAACGTAGTTTCTTCGGTTAGATCCAAAATACGTTTTCATCTATTTACAGTTTTGCCACTATTTTCTTTAGGCCATAACTTCTCCGTTTTAACTCTGATTTGACCCGTTCAAGTTGTGTTAGATTCGTAATTGCGTAATCTACATGTTCATCGTATTATTAAACATGTTTTTAACTTTTGAAATTCAAGGTTAGATTTAATCTATTATTTTATTGAAGGAAATCTTGTTTAATTAATAACTTCTTCGTTATAGCTCCGATTAGAGTGCTTCTCACGTCTGCATGTTCGTAGTAACGTGTAGAACATTTTTAAAACCTTTTTACTTGATGTTTATTATGTTTGGTGTACTATTTTGATTTAGTTCTATTGTTTGCTTCGTGTATGATTGCATGGATGCTTGCGAGGTGCTTTATGATCATGTCCAGTTGGTGAGCTTTACGTGTTGATCAAGGAGTTCCATTGAAGGTTTGGACTAGAAGAAGGATCTAAGTTTAAGGCAAGTATAGCATGGGATCATCCTTGTTGTCCTATTCACCTTAATATCATTTTAATCATATGCATGTGTCTACCTTGACAACTGTAGTAATTTTCCTAGCTATTTGATATCTTTGATTCATTGTTAACTATGGGGCATTGCATTGGGTAGTATGATGCTAGTGCTCAAACTAAAGCCATGATCTTGTAACTTGACGAATGGAATATGCAATAAACATTAAAAGATGCTTTTTAGCAACATGGAACAAGGGGGCTAGAGCATTGAGCTATTTTATGGTGCTCTAGATTCCTCTCCCTAAGGACTTATCTGTAAGTGATCATCCGAGACTTACAATACAGCTGTGAGGGCTACATGGCTCTGCCTTTAGCTCAGTATGAGGACCTTTTCTAGCTTGTTAGTGGTTACCTTTATTGTGTAAGAATGGCTTGATGAATCGGGTATAGGATAGCCTCTACTCTTATGTGTATAGCCGTGATGGAATTGTGTCATTCGATAGGGGGGTTCCTATATCTATTTGCTGAGTGAATCTAATGGCCCTAACTTGTTAGACAAACCTTTGAAAGGCTTCATAGTGAACCCTGTTGACCTTCCTTGGTAGTGGGTCAAGAGGTTGGCCGCCTCAGGCGAAAGGGTAAATCATGACTCACAGTGAAAGTGTACAACCTCTGCAGAGTTTAAAACTGGTATATCAGCCGTGCTCACGGTCATGAGCGGCCTTGGAACCCTTACGGAATAGATGATGAACATTGATGATAAAGATGCTCACTAATGATTATTGTTTATGCTATTCATTATTCATGTTTACCTGATCATGTGTTTATATGGGCTTGTGAATAAACTTGTTGCCACCCAATTGCTAAAAGATGACTCATTA